TATTTCTGTTCGGTAGATGTGAAAGGCTTTAATACACAAAATAAAAAGAAAATATTTACCCAAACCTTAATTCAGCTATTCGTCCAGTGCCTCATAGCTCTGAAATACCAGTTCCCCTCCCACCTTCCAGTTTGGATGATATACAGAGTGGTTCGGAGGACGGAACTATATTACCACCCCAGGATGAATCCAGCTCAGATTTTTCTGTTGATGAGGGACCCCAACCTTTTTCTCAGAGTGAGCTCAAAGACTTAGAGATTTAGGCCTTTTCCAAAGATGGAGCCGAATTGCTAGGGTCAAGACTAAAAAATAAAAACTTGCTGTCACATGGAACATCATTCTCATGGTACAGGCACCGAGAGATGGAATTCACTCAGTTTTTCTCCGAAGAAGGAAATTTCGTTTTTTGTAATGATGTTCAAGGGCTCATGAAATGCTTTGAAATAGAATATGATCCATCTGAGTGGCGCATTTTCATTGATTCGTCTAAAACAAGCCTCAAAGTAGTCTTGCTGCATAATGGAAATACATTTGCATCAATTCCTATGGGACACTCAGTGCATTTGGAAGAAAACTATAACGATTTGGCTGTGATTCTTGAGAAAGTCAGCTATCATGAACATCAATGGATGGTTTGTAGAGACTTCAAAATATTAACCATGTTGTTGGGCCAGCAGGCAAGTTATACAAAACATCCCTGCTTTTTATGCCTGTGGGACAGTCGAGCCAGAGACCTCCATTGGACATTATTCAGAAGAGCAGCAAAGAGAAGAAGAAAAGGTTTCACAGGCAAAATACTGAACACAGAATATTAAATTTATCATGAAGGAATTGTTTGTTTAATTATGAGAAATAATATGTTTAGTTCAATGTAATAAAATTAGTGATTTTTTCATCGCTGTTATGATCTTTTATTGTAAACCCCTACTATTTTCCAAAAAAATATTTCATGCAGCTGAAAAAAAATTATTTTTGCAGACCTGTGTTATCATAGTTATGTACATAATTTAGAACAAGAGTGAACCATCAATAACAGAGTGTATGTTCTATAACAAATTGCCTAACAGCATAAATCAAATAGGTAACAACACGTTTAAAACGTACCCGAGAGAACTTACTTATTAAGGGATGCAAAGGTTCAGTAGAAGATTACCTCAATGAAGAATTCTATAATATTGGCTACTGATAAGCAGATGTAGAATATGTTACTAACATTATCATTATTCTAATATTTATATTGTTATATTTCTAATAAGTTAATATTATTATCATTGTAATTTCTGTAGTGTATATATCCTGTATCAATGTATTTTGATCTCCAGAATGAATAAGAATGAATGAATGAAAAAACGTTCCTCATTATGTGGTTTTCTTCTTTTCAGAATCCTGTTAATTAACAATTTGTTCTCATGCATATGCAATCTGTTGATGTGCAGTCATCCTTTCAGAATCTTTTAACAGTTCTGGAAGAGTGCAGAATATGATCTGCATCCTACTAGGCCTGACAGGAACTGGATTTCATGCAGCAAATTATTAATAGCCTTTTTAAAACTTCATTCAAACGAATTTCTCAACTGATACTGAATTCTAAGCACTGCAAACTCTGCAACAATGGTTTGGGATGCAGAAAAATGTAAAATTACAGCTTTCATTTTTCTTCTCTTTTAGGTTTTTCATTATCAATGAGGGTTTTCTTTTGTACTATTCTGAAAATGGAAAAACAAAAAAATTGATGAAAAACATTGTTTCAACATTCATCCAGAAGGTGCAATTCCAGTTGGAGGATACATTATTCAGACATCTAATGAACTAGGCCAGTAATCATAAGTGACACCTTTGTACATATATTTCTTTTTTATTGCTAGTGGGGTGCGACTAAGTCCCTCCTACTGTGGCCACTTCTGGCCTATAGTACCAGTCCCAGATGATAGGTGAGGGTGATTGTGGAACAATAGGTGGAATGAGGATTGGCAGGGGAAACGAAAGTACTAGGAGAAAACCTGCCACAGCGTCACTTTGTCCACCACAAATTCCACTTGACCAGACCCGGGATTGAACCCAGGCCGCCGCAGTGGGAAGCCAGCGACTAACCACTTGAGCTATGGTGCAGCATTCTGTACGTGTAAGTGAATGTATGTTCACTGATTAGTATCAAATATTTATTATTATAATGATCTGAGTTTGTGTACTATTAAGTGAAGATTCATTTTAATAGAGTTAAGTGGCCCTGGGAACAGAGACACAATATGACAAAGATCAATGGATACATGTACTTCACGAAGCAGCAAGGATGTAAGTTTGTGGTTTAATTCCCTGTTTTAATTCATGTGTTACTGAAACAGGATATTCTGTGAAGCGTGCATGGCACTTGGTTGCTCTTAATTTCATCTACCAGAATAGAGATGATGGCAGGAATTGTAAATTAATAACTGCTGAACAAGTTAGTGATGTACTAATCTGTATAATGTCAACTGGTATACATATTACGGTCTTATGGGTTATAACATCATGTAGTCTGGTAGGTGGGTACCATAATACCAAACTGCACTGTGACATGAATCTTCACTACTATGAAAAACTGAAACCTCGTCCATTAGTACATTTCCAAACTACCTGAATAATGTCACACATAACCTCAAGTTTTCACATGCAGCTGAGGAGTAAGAAATCGATTCCTTGTGGGGGTAAGAGATTTTTATATTGAAACACACCAATACAACACACAGCAGGATTTGAGCTATGCTACCTACACATAAATTAAAAAAAAAATATTACTTCACACAAATATTACCTGTCCTTTTTTATCCTGCAACACTTGTGACAAAGTTACTCGTGTCCATGACATTCTTTAAGTCATACGTGTCCCCTCGGAAGTGCAAAATGAGCAACAAACCTGGCAAAGCTTCCCAAACAAGAACTTGAGTGCTATATATTGGGAAGCAAGAAGCAAAACAGGTTAAATCATACCAAATGCAGCCATTGGAAACCAACCAACTTGTGAAATAATGATGCACTAATAACATGTATTTGTATTTGTATATACATTCTATCCCTTCTTGAAAATTCATTAGTAATCAGGAATTGGTTCATCTTGAATTCTCAACATTTCATTCATGTTTTATTTATGCAGTACTGAACCATTTTTCCTACCATTTTCACATTTTTTTATCTTTAATCCTGCAATTCCAATTCCAATTCTTTTCATCCTTCCACTTACATTTGATGAATTTTTCTTCATCCTTGTGTTTGCACTTCCTTTTTCCAACTTTCAACATTTTGGTTATGTATTTTCCTCTTTTTGCCTAAAAAAGCTTTTGTCTTACTCAGCCTTGTCGACTCATCCTCTAACAGAAATGAGTACCAGGAATATTCTGGGGGGTAAAGGGCAGCCAGCATGTAGGGCTGACAACCTTGCTGCCATCTATGAGCCAATTGTCTAGAAAATGTGGGAACCTCAATATCTCACAACTCTATGGGCCTCCATGGCCTGCTACAGGGATACCTTTACTTTTCATGTATTTTGCAAAGCTGCACAACAACAAAACTTAAATTAATAAAATTATCATAATCCAACCGCGCACAATTATCTTCAATCAACTTTAATGTACTCTGTAGGCATGTCAGGCAAGGCTTGTAGCACACTGTTGATTCACATTCACCAAAAATGCCTCATCTATTAGTTTACACTTATCCCTGGCATTTTATTGTTGTCACAGACAGCTGGAAGGAAATGGAGGACAGCAGGTGGTTAGCCTCTGTGGACCAGTTAGCTAATATGCTTGCTATTGGCATATCCATCCTTACATCACCCCCAAAACTGCCATAGTGCAGATACAGCAAAGGCCTCTTGTTCAAGCGAGGAAAAAATGACAGAATTCAAGATGAAGAGCAGTGATAAGCATAAACATGCTCTCCATCTACAGGGATAGGCCACAACACAGTTATAATCCAAAAGTGCTAAAGTTTCCTACAACAAAAAAGTACAGTATAAAGTATTTTCTCACATTCTTTCTAATGCTCAGTGCACCAACCTTGCACAAGAGATTAAATCACAATCAGAGAGACTGAGACCCAATAAATGTTTTCAGAATATTAATGATCAGCCTTTGTCTCAGAGCAAAAACTGCAACATGATAATGAATCCCATGTGCAGGAGAACTATTCTGTGAGAACTCTGTTTTCTGTGGAAAATGATTCCAAAATTTCAAACAAACAGTAAAAAAACTTGCTAATGGATCATCCATCCAATTCTGAGAGAACATACGAAAATTACGGCCTTGTGAACACTGGCTCTGTCCACATTTTGATATATATAGGAATTATGTCATCGTCAACACAACACAACTCAGTTTTATTTTCGATCTTCATACTGCTACATGTTTCAGTCACATAAGACCATCATCAGGCAGTTGTACACAGGAATATGTATAGTCATTCAAATACAGATATGGATCCTTATCGATGCAAAGCGTTGTTTTATGTACTGATATAAAACTCTTGCTTCAAGTTTATGTTACATTAAAGTAGCAAATACATAAATAAGATAAAAGACAAACATAGGGTTATATCATATATCAAATTATAATGTGTTTAAATCCTATAAAAATATTAAAAAATGTGAAAGGTTTTTCGATGATAGGTTACGAACTGTATGCCAACTTAAATATTTTAGATTTCCCTGCTACAGTGTAGAAAATTAGCCATGTATGTTGTTTGTAAGGTCTTATTGTAGAAGCTTTCTACGTAGTAAGCCCGGTTGTGAAGCCCAACGGCAAGTTTCTATGATGTATGGGTAGTGATGTGTGGATATTGGTAAGCTATTCACACGATATGTATCTTTATATGATCGTACAATATGGCGTATGTGTTCCTTGTCTGGGCGCGTATACATTCTGTGTGTTCTACACTGTGCAGTGGTTCGATGTAAATTGTTTGGAGATGATGGTGGTGTTTTGGAAGGGGAGAAGGACGGGGAAGAACCAGGTGTCTTATATGTTGTGTGTGTGTGTGTGTGTGTGTGTGTGTGTGCGAGGGGAGTGATGGTGGAATATGGGGGGATGGGAATGTTATGCAAGTATAGTAATTGGGATTATTTATTATAAGGTCAAAGATGGGTTTATGCGTATCTGTGTAAGTGTCGTTCATCTGTAGCTTCCTTTTACTTAAGTCATTTATATAAAAAGTCGTTTGAGTGTATTAAGTAAATGGCTTTTCTCTGCTCTCTCTACCACTTCCACGGTCTCTTCAATTGTGCCATATGTGTGGCCTGTGTCTAGCACGTGTTGAGCATATTTTGACATGTGTCCATTCTTGATGACGGCTGGGATTTGACCTTCTTTGGTGGCAGCAAGTCTGCATGTTTCCACTGCTTGCTTATTTTCTTCATTTCAGGGTCATAATGATAGACCCAACATTCAGCCATCGTGATCAGGTGGTCGAAAAATTCCACCTTTTCATATTGACACAACTGCAAGAGTTTCTTTGCCACATCTGTCCGTTGCTGTTTTTAAACTGGTGTCAACAATCATGACACCCAACGCACAGTGACCTTTGTCATGTGTAACTTGTCATGGATGATGCTGAAAACCGACCCATGGCTAATGCAGACCTCATCAACAATAGCTTCAATAGTTATGTGCCCATCAGATAGGATCAAAGCTTTCCACCTGTGCCACAATTCCTGGTTCCTCAGGGAGAGATGGTCTTCCACTTCAGGGTTCATCTTCAAGGTTTGTCTGTCCACAATGAAAACGCCTTTTCCACCTGACCACTGTGTCATACGATGGTACACCTTCCTGATACACAGTGGTCATCTGGTTGTGGATCTCCCTGGCAGATTTCCCTAGCAAATGCAGGAACTGTATCACAGCATGAGCCTCCACTTTTTCAACCGATATCGCCATTTTGCTTCTGCCCCTTCTGGTGGCTCCCTCTGCGCAGTTGGTGCAGGAGAATTTGATTGTTCGGCAAGCTCAGGAAATGGTCTATCTCCTACACAGAACAATATTTTGGAATTATGATTTTCTCATGGTGATAATTAAAACATTTTGACTTTCCATCACACATACATTTAACAGATAGAATAAAAATCAAAATATGAGAAAAATATCTGGCTGATCATGTTTAAATCCATATTCTACTATTCAAAACTAGTTCTAAAGCAAAGCATATACAAATTTATTACAGTTCTTAGTGATGGACACTACTTACTATTGATGTATTCCAACTTTGTTAACCAGACCAAAACACAATCTTTGTCCAGTGCCATCACAGCATGAACTGCATGAAAACCCTGCATTTCAACTTATACATTATGGAGGAATTGTGTTCTACTGAACTTCATTCAGCACACACCTTCTGATATGCAGCACCTAATCCAAGCACAGTACACCCAACAGCATCGGCAAGAAATAAACAGAATCTTCATAAATTGTTGTGGCAAGCAAGGAACCAGAGGAAATCTATGCAGAAAACAAAATTTCTTTCCCCCCTCAACACATGAAACACGGGATAAATTAGTATCATAAAACTGCCTGCAAACTTTAATGAAAACACTGAAACAAAAGCAGCCCAATTATAATTTACAGATGTCCCAACAAGTCACCTCAGTTTTAGAAGCCTTATATTTCCTGAACCACAGTATTTTGAGTTGAATTTATAAACGATGTTAAACTAATAACTGTCCAATAATAATAAATTGAACTGATCACTCATTGAAGATTATATCATGTACATATAATTGTGTCTTGTTCTATTAGAAGGGATTTGCTCATTTCAACCCTTACTTGCTCCACATCTGAAGTACTCACTAAAGCATGATACCACATCAAAATACATGCATCACACAAGAGCTTTTCTTTTTTCTTTTCAATTAACTTTCATTTTAGGGTTTCATCACTGACCAGAAACAAACATTAACCACATCCTATTCTATGCACTGTTTGAACTAGTTAACCAGATAAGAAGTACCTTCAGTTTCTGAGTGCTTGCTGTGCCAACTGTCAACAGCAACAGATTAACCTCTAGCAACAGTAATCTAATAACACAATTCAAAGCATTTATGAGTTGCATTAATAATATTTACATTAGCTTGGAAATATTCAAATGAAAACTTTTGTAAATCTTAAAGGCATTTATCAAACTACTAAAATAAGCTTATTCTGCTGTTGTTAACACCTCCATCACAACATATCCAATGATCACCTACACCCATATAGCAGCAATACACTAAAAATCTCAAAACACTTCCTCAGCATTCTCACGGCTGTGAGATGGTTGAAAAACTGCAGCAGCAAGACTAGGAATATGTGCCACTAAAATATCTCCTGGCCATGAAGCACACCCTACCATGCAAGGGCTTAACACAATGAATTATAACAATTATAAATGCAATAGAAATTTTATCAAGTTTTGTCATGATAGTGAACACAACAACAAAAAAATTGTTAATACTTCAAGTCTTTCTATCAAAAAATATTAACCCAATCATTCCAAGTAATAATCATTCAGCATTCCAGAAATTTCCTTCAGAATAATTCCAAAGTTCTGAATAATCTGTAATCATAGCTCTGAGCTTATCTCGATATTAAACCCTGCTGATTGATACAAGAAATGCAGCTTCAACACCATTCCCAAGACATGGCCAACCTCAAGCTTCAAACTGGATAACAATATCCATGGAGACTGTGCAGCTTGCCCAGTGGTGGGGAATCATCTCAAAGTTTTCAAGCCATAGCATCATCTCCGTCACGTAAGGTACACATGTGTGGGCTGGGCTTGTATACTTAATCCATTACAAAAGGTACCATTTTTTGAGACATTTTGTACTGTGACCAAGTACCAGTACACCTGAGGGAAAAAAATAGTCCAACTACTACACTGTGCTATGAAGCAACAACTAGTGTCATGCTAAGTATGAAATCATAACACGAAGTTCTCTGATTTTGCCGTAAAGCTGATCATGTTACAACATTAATATTAAAGTGAAATAACCTCTAAACTTTAAATAACTCAAATTAACAACATACAGCATAAATAAAAGGGTACCCCCTGATACGAAGTCTTTCAATTGGCACAAAACAGCATCCAGAATACAATCTCAAAAACGAGTTGTGCTCTCACTGAATGCATCACAGCAATAGCATTCCTGATTGTACAGGAACATCTCCCTTGCAGAATAGTAAAAGTGAAAAACAGACATCATGTGGGCAAAGCAGAGTGTTATGCTAGTACAGACATGCCCTCATTTAGTCCTAGTTTTGCTGCCCTAATCATCAAAATCATTTGCCACTTCTAAATACAACCATTTACTCAGAACTATGTCTATTAAGTTTTCCCTAAAAGAATCAGCATAAAACTTCAAGAACATGAAATTCACAGGAGTTGGGGACACACCCATACATGGCAACATTCACAATTTGCACAAAATAGTTCGGTGTCAAAACAAATAATGAACTACAACTGGCAGTAATTTCTAACACTTGAACGTATTAAGAAAAGCTTGTCTAATACTCATCAAGTAGGAAGAGACAACTTCAAGCAGATGGATGACCTGCAGCCTGCAGAGTCTGATTTGAGGACACAAAACATCCAAAATCTGCAAATGGCATAGATGCTTAGGTAGGATAGGAAAGATCACCATCAATCCTCACCAAGGACCGCTGCATATGTCACCACAGTTGAGTTCTAAAAGTATAAAACAAAACTTTCGTTCTGCACAAGTACTTTGGGAACAAAATATAAGACAAACTTTATCTAAAAGAAAATCTTCAATGTACAGCATTCAAGTGCATTAATATGAACTCAATTTTTTCAATTTTAATATTCAGTTAACTTCCAAAGTGCCATTAAAACAACCTTTTCAACATGTTCTACCTTTAGTTTCATAAAATTCCTTGCCATCCCACTGTCTGCGAACATATTGCAATATTTCTACAGTGTGAACGTGAAAAACATAACCTTACAAACTTACCAACGAAAAGGCTGTGCCATAGCTCAAGCAGTTAGTCGTTGGCTTCCCACCGTGGCGGCCCGGGTTTGATCAAGTGGGATTTGTGGTGCACAAAGTGGAGCTGGGGGCGGGTTTTCTCCGAGTACTTCGGTTTCCCCTGCCAATCTTCATTCCACCAAATTCTCCATCATCATAATCACCCAGGGCAAGTACAATAGGCCAATCAGTGGCCGCCATGCTGAGTGGAACCACTTGGACTCCACCCCTTACTAATCAAAATTTTACGAAAGAAAACGTGTTGATAAATAAGCGATGCTACTAATGGAAGGCTCCATTTGTAACCCCTCCTGCTATACCACTTCCTGTGACCAGCAGCAATTCTAAAATCCAACCAAGGCTGTACAGGTTCAAGGGGCCAAACGTCTGTATCCAATCTTACATGCTTCAAAATTAAGATTCACAGGTATGCAGTGACACAACATCTAGCAAATCTGAGATAAAATTTTCTTTCCACTTCTGTAATGATCACAAAAATCGTTTCACAAAACCCCATAATTATTTTNGAAAAAAAAAAAAAAAAAAAAAAAAAAAAAAAAAGGAAAAAAAAAACCTTTGCTCAAACTATTACAGCATGGACTTGATTATATGTTCATTGAGTACTGCACACAAATTTCAAACTAACTGCATGTCTCAGTATCACACTAAAATAAACAGCCTACTTCAGATTCAGCTGCATCACAGCTCCATCTACCAATGCAAAGTCATGGCAATTACTTACCAAAACATGGTTGTCCACAGTGATCTGGAAACCCATCTATGAGGTATCCTTTTGATCTGCAATTAGAATTACTAGAATGTGGCCAGAGGATCTCATTAGATAAGCACCACAGAATCATCAGAGGATGATACCTGCTTCAATATTACATATACCCATCCCTTTTACTAATTACTCTATTTATGTATATTGAGTAGATTGTAAAATAAAAAAAAATTACAATTACACCCTCCACACTATCATCTAAAATGCATCCAACATCCATGACAGTGACATACAAAACAACTGGGGACCATACACCTCGACCACCAGCATCGTCTACAGCCCCAATATCCAAAACAATAGCGCTGTGATACCCTTGCACTGGGGCTGTCTGCATGTGGAGCAGACCTGGCAAAAACATCAAAAAGGGCAAAAGCAACTTCAAACTACAACATAGTAACGTTTGGCTGCTGAAATTAGCTTCTCTCTATATCATGCACACTGCACACCCTCTCAAACTAGTATTTTTCTGATCCCCATTTGGTATAATCAGTATATTTAGAAGCCCAATTCAAGCTAAATTATATCATAAAACCACAACTTGAATCCAGTTCTGATGAAGATACCAGTCAAGACAATACACCTTGCCCAGAAGTGGATATCGGGCCTGAAGTATTCAAGGAACAGCACTGTGGACCTCATGCACTGGGAATGTCTCCATCTGAAGTTGATCTAATAACACTAACCAGGGAAATGAAAGAACCTCTCCAACCTGCTGTCTAGTTGAGACTCACTATAACAGAAGTACATTTGAGCTTTCCTCTGAATCATGCATCTTCCAATTCCTTAACATTATTTATAGCTTTCCTTCTAAATCTTGTTCAAGGCATGTATTGCAAATTTGTTTCTTTCTATTAACTAATGAAAAAATTAATCCAGCAAAACACCAGTAATGAAATTCACAGCTATTACAATAAATATATTATACAGATTGAATACAAACTACATTAAAAATTTGAACTTGTTAAACTAAAGTTAGCATGTCTTTCATATAAGGTGACCATAATTTGCTTAATATCACAATCTGTGATGAACTCTGTCATCCAAGTCACAGAAATAAAAATTTCACCATGTTCCAACGACCACCATTTTTACATTAATTTTAGTACCCCACCCAACATGCACAGATAAAATCAATTCAGTTTATAATTCTGCTGACAGGAAATTTCAAATTTCTTACTTACAACACTTCCTGTTTCAAGTCTATCATGCAAGGCACAAGTCTGTCTCTCACTCCATTACATAAGGTGCTCTTGTCTTATTGTCGCAAGTAAATCATTATGTTACATTAGTTGAAAAATAACCTCCGAACATTAAAGAACAATAGTTCATAAAAGTGTAGAAAAAATGGGTACCCCTCCAACCCGTAAGATATTCATTCCAACCACTTGCCATAAAAAGACCTGCAGAACAGTACCTCAATAAGCAGCTGTGCTTTTACTCCATCTATCATGGCTATACAATGGCATTCTCTACTGACTAGAGAACACAATGGTGCAAGGTTAACATTTGTCTGCTTGTCTACTTAATCCATTACAAGAGGTTCTCCATTTCTTTTTGCGCAGAATAACCGGAGTACCAGGGCACCTAAGGAAATAACATACAACTACTTCATGATAGTCTCAGGAAATGTCATGGTATCATGTACAAATATAAGATCATACAATTAATTTCTTGGATATTGTTGAAAGTTAATCACCATGTTACAATGCTGATGATGCTTATTTCAAATAACATCCAAAAATTTAAATAACTGTAATTAATGACATACAATATCAAGAAAAGGTACTTCTTGATAAGTATTTCCAGCAAGAAAATGACCTCAAAAAGAAGCTACTCTCTCCATTAACATATCACAGTTATATGTCACTCTCTACTGTACACGAGCTTCACCTTTCTTGCAGAATGGCAAAACTGAAAAAGGGCAATATGCAGGCATAGCATCGAGTATTATCGTAGTACAGACATTCAGAATTTTAAATGACTGTAATTAACAAGAGTCTAAGTAAAAAAAAGGTTCTACCTGATATGATGTCTTTCAAAACAACTTTCCATAAAATAACCCTCAGAATACAATCTCAGAAAGGAGCTGTGCTCACAGCATAAAAAAGGTTACTTCAACATGAAGTCTTTCCAACAACTTGCCACAAAATGGACAACCAGATTACAATCTCAAAAATAGACTGAACGTATCACGGCTATACAATGGCATTATCTATTGTAGACGAGCTTCATCTCTCTTGCAGAATGGCAGTACTGAAAGAAGGCAATATGCAGGCAAAGCATAGAGTATTACGTGGGTCATTTCATAAATAATGCGCAGGTTGGCAACACTGCAGATTAGATGACACAACAACGAGCCTCACGTCAGTTACAGTTCAGGGCTTGAGAAAAAAGAGCGTTATTTTGTTTCATTTATAATGTACTCTGTTCTTAAATAAAGTGAGTTAGAAATGGAGCCTGCACGGTTCTCGGAGTATTGTGACTGTTGAAGATCAAAGGTTGTACATTAAGATCGAAACTTTACCAAAAAAATTTCGACGATCTCAATCAAAGGTCAAACAAATGATGACATTTGCTTATGATCACCAAGGAATCATCATGACAGACGTAGTTTCGTGCGGGAAAAGTGTCGCAGCAGTTTATTAAAGTGACTTTAAGCAAAAAATGCGCAGAAAAATGCACAAAAACCGACCTCAGTTGCTCGAGGCTGGGCCGATCATTCTCCATGACAACGCTCGCCCGCACATCGGGAAAGTTGTAACAGAAAAGCTGCGCCAATACAGTCAGGAGGCGTTGCCTCATGCTCCCTACAGCCCGGACATGAGTCCACCAGAGTTCGACTTATTCCCAAAGTTGAAACAACCTATGTGAGGCTGTTGTTTTCTCTCTCTGGAAGAGCTTTCTGCTTCAGTACCTGAGCATTTGATAGATAAAGAAAGATGGTGTCCTGGATGGAATAGTAAGGCTTCCCACACGTTGGGACTCGGTCATTGAGAAGCAGGGGGACTATACTGAAGGACTGTAAAGAGATATTAAAAAAAATAAACATGGATGCAAACAAAAAATTGTGTGCATTATTTCTGAAATGACCTACATAAGTGTATTATTCTAGTACAGATATCTCACCGAGACCTCATTTCACTGCCTTCATCATCAAAGCACTTCCTGCAAATCCAAATAACGTAATTTGTGCCCTTTCTGAATACAACCATTTGCAACACAACTAATTCTATTAAGTCTTCACAAACATGAAATTCACAGACTTGGAAGATACCTGTACCTTATAAAATTCAAATTACCCCCTCTAAGAAAGTTCAATGTTGTAACAAATAATGAATTACAAATGATACCAATTATTAAGACTCGAACACATTAAGAAAAGTTTCTCTAATAACCTCACATAGCAAATGGACTGCTTCAAGTAGGCGCACCATACAGAATCTGATAAAAATGGCAGGCATACTTGGGCAAGATAGGAAGGATTACCATTAATCTTTACTAAGGACCACTGCTTACATCACAGTTCAGCTCTAAAAGTATAAAACAAAACTTTTCTTCTTTGGAAACTTAACAAAACATAAAAGCAATTATTAAATCAAGAAATGTCTTCAAAATATTGATTTTGAAAAAAAAATGTAACGTGTCAATAACAACCAAACTTTAATATCTGGTTAATATCCAAAGTGCCATTACAACAACTAATTCAACAAGCTCTACTTTTAGTTTCACATTAGCAGCCTGCCACCCCAATGTCGGGTGCAAATGTTCAATGTTTTGCACATGAAAAACAAAAACGGAGTAAACTTACATTACGTAAACTCGTTGCCAAAACAAGAGACGCTGCTAAAGACAAATTCCACTATAACATTTCTTGTGACCAGCATCAATTCTACAATGCAATCAAGGCTTCAAGGGAACTTCCGCCCCAAAGGCACTGTTCAGGTTCAAGCGGCTGAACACCTGCCTCTACCAGATAGCCAGTATCTGCATGAAGAGAAAGACCTGTTCTACCCACACCCCACCCCACCCCACCCACCCAACCATTCTCACTTCAAAATTGAAAACCAGACATATGCATTGAAACAGCATGTAGCAAACCTTAGGTTAAAATTTACTTCCCATTTCTGTAATGATAGAAAAATCCTTTCGCTTCATAAGGCCCAACAAACCTTCAAAAACCCTTTAGTATTGCACTATCACAGCATGGACCTGATTAAATTTATGTTCGCTTTCAGCATTTGACGCAGTAACTTCGAAAGTGCATTCCTTACTGCATGGAATTTTCTATCAGAGTAATCAAGCTTCACAAGTGCTATCACATTGAAATAAACAGCATACTTCAGAATTCAGCGACTCTACCTGTGCAAATTTATGGTATTTCCTTACAGAAAACATAGTCCTTAACAGTGATCTGGAAACATATCTACAAGGCATCCTCCTGATATGCAATTAGAATTACCCTAAGCACCATTATCTATGGTGCATCAAAACATCTTTCACACTAGCAGTGGCACGCAAAACAATTTGCACCACACACCCTACTCACCACCGCCACCTAAGGCCCAACAACCAAAAAAACAGCACTGTCACATCATTGCACTGGGGATGTCAGCATGTAGAAGGAATCTGACAAAAATATCAACAGCGCAAAATCAACTTCAACCGATTAACCTAATATGAACGGGTGTTTAAAATTACCTTCTCTCTCGATCATACACAAGACAGCACACCTTCAACTAGTATTTCTGATCCTCATTTCATAGAGTCAAGATATTTAAACACTGAATTACACCTATGATAAATTGTTGTCGACCTGAATCAAGTTCTGGAAAACAGAAGTACATTTCAGCTCTCCCCTGAATCACGCAACTTCAAAACCATTCATACATTTCATTTTTAAATCTTGTTCATGGCATTTATTACAAATTCAAGATTCATTCAATTAACAAATGGAAAAGTAATCCCAAAACAACACAAGAAATAAATTTTACACGTATTCATTAAGAATTAGAATGGTATTAAAAAACAAATTTAAAGTATTTTAAAAATATAACTTTCTTCACCTGAAACTAGATCCTTTCAGTTAGTACATGGCATGCGATCTGCCACCTTCCACTCCAACACTACCGGAAGTGCATTCTTGTCCACAACCTGACAAATACTAAGCATACACAACACCCTAACAACAACCACTACAGTTACACATATACCAGGAAAAAGACGTTCATCCTGTTTTCAAAAATAATACTGAACATTACACTTCTCTAATAAACCTCATGTACCAGGCTTGAGACTTCCAAGATGTAGGGCCCGATGAAAATGTCATGGTATATACTGCTTCAAGTCAGTTACAGACTTCCAACATGCAGCATCTCATTAAAATTGCATGGATACTTGGGCAAGATAACAACCATCACCATCAATCTTCACCAGGACCGTTGCTTACACCACCGTTGAGCTCTAAGAGAACAAAACAAAATTTCCTTCCACCAAAAACAAGAACTCTAGATGGTTGGGCAAAATTTAAATTTCTTAAAGAATCTTCAAAATGTGTAGTTCAAAAAAATGAAGGTGCCAACCAACATGAAGTAAACTTGAATATTTGCTTAATTTTCAAAGTGTCATTAAAACAAGATCTACCTTCAATTTCATGTAACTGCCCAGGATCATATTACAAATTATCTTGTGAAAAACGTAACCTTGCGAACATACGTAAGTATGAAAGACTTTGGCCAAACAAGCGAAGCTACTAATGGCCAACTCTGTTGGCAACCCCTTCCAATATTCGCATTCCATTGCAGGCTCCAAGGGAACTTCCATCCCTAGGCAATGTTGATGCTCAAGGGGCTCAACATATTGGTATGTATTCACCAGAATGCTAATATCTGTAGAAAGAGAATCACACTGAAATAAACAGTGCACTTCAGATTCAGCTGCATCACAGCTACCTCTACCTGTACAAAGAAACGGGATCTCCTTAATAAAACATGGTGGTTCGCAGTCACCTTCATAATTATCTACAATGCATCCTCCTGATC